ATTTTTTATTATTTCTTTATCTTTGAATTAATCTAATTAAATTTTTATTTCTTTTTATTTATCCAATTATTCATTTTAATTTTCAGCTTCTTTTGTTTATATTAACTAATTTTTAATTTATTATTGATTATTTTCTTCATATTTATTTATTTATTTTGTTTTTTAAATTATTTATTTTTATTCAATTTTATTATATTTTCTATATTCTTATTCTTACTCTTATTAATATTCTTATAATTATTATTATTATTATTATTGTTATTATTATTGTTATTGTTATTGTTATTGTTATTGTTATTGTTATTATTATTGTTATTGTTATTGTTATTGTTATTGTTATTGTTATTGTTATTGTTATTGTTATTGTTATTGTTATTGTTATTGTTATTGTTATTGTTATTGTTATTGTTATTGTTATTGTTATTGTTATTGTTATTGTTATTGTTATTGTTATTGTTATTGTTATTGTTATTGTTATTGTATTGTTATTGTTATTGTTATTGTTATTGTTATTGTTATTGTTATTGTTATTGTTATTGTTATTGTTATTGTTATTGTTATTGTTATTGTTATTGTTATTGTTATTGTTATTGTTATTGTTATTGTTATTGTTATTGTTATTGTTATTGTTATTGTTATTGTTATTGTTATTGTTATTGTTATTGTTATTGTTATTGTTATTGTTATTGTTATTGTTATTGTTATTGTTATTGTTATTGTTATTGTTATTGTAATTGTTATTGTTATTGTTATTGTTATTGTTATTGTTATTGTTATTGTTATTCTTATTCTTATTATTGCTATTCTTATTCATATTGTTATTCTTATTCTTATTATTGTTATTATTATTCTTATTATTCTTATTCTTATTCTTATTATTGTTATTCTTATTTTTATTCTTATTCTTATTCTTATTCTTATTCTTATTCTTATTCTTATTCTTATTCTTATTCTTATTCTTATTCTTATTCTTATTCTTATTCTTATTCTTATTCTTATTCTTATTCTTATTCTTATTCTTATTTTTATTTTTATTTTTATTCTTTTTCTTATTCTTATTCTTATTCTTATTCTTATTTTTATTCTTATTCTTATTCTTATTCTTATTCTTATTCTTATTCTTATTCTTATTCTTATTCTTATTCTTATTCTTATTTTTATTCTTATTATTATTCTTATTCTTATTCTTATTTTTATTTTTATTGTTATTCTTATTCTTATTCTTATTCTTATTCTTATTCTTATTCTTATTCTTATTCTTATTCTTATTCTTATTCTTATTCTTATTATTCTTATTCTTATTATTGTTATTATTATTATTGCTATTCTTATTCTTATTCTTATTATTCTTATTCTTATTAATGTTATTCTTATTATTATTGCTATTCTTATTCTTATTCTTATTCTTATTCTTATTATTATTATTATTGTTATTGTTATTGTTATTCTTATTCTTATTATTCTTATTCTTATTATTCTTATTCTTATTATTATTATTTTTATTATTATTATTATTATTATTATTATTATTATTATTATTATTATTATTATTATTATTATTCTTATTATTATTATTAGTATTATTATAATTCTTATTATTATTATTATTATTGTTATTGTTATTCTTATTCTTATTCTTATTCTTATTCTTATTCTTATTCTTATTCTTATTCTTATTCTTATTCTTATTCTTATTCTTATTATTATTCTTATTCTTATTCTTATTTTTATTTTTATTCTTATTCTTATTCTTATTATTCTTATTAATGTTATTCTTATTCTTATTCTTATTCTTATTCTTATTCTTATTCTTATTCTTATTCTTATTATTCTTATTCTTATTATTGTTATTATTATTATTGCTATTCTTATTCTTATTCTTATTCTTATTATTCTTATTAATGTTATTCTTATTATTATTGCTATTCTTATTCTTATTCTTATTTTTATTCTTATTCTTATTCTTATTCTTATTTTTATTCTTATTATTATTCTTATTCTTATTCTTATTTTTATTTTTATTCTTATTCTTATTCTTATTATTCTTATTCTTATTATTGTTATTATTATTATTGCTATTCTTATTCTTATTATTCTTATTCTTATTATTGTTATTCTTATTATTGTTATTATTATTATTATTATTTTTATTATTATTATTATTATTCTTATTATTATTTTATTTATTCATAATCTTTTAATTATTTTTCTTTATTTTATTTTAGTTTTTTATTAATATCATTACTATTTAATTTTTTTTGAATATTTTTTTTTTAAAATATTTTTTTTTTATTATTATTTGTATTTTACTTAATAATTTTTTAGTATTGTTTACTCTCTTATATATCTATATATTCTTATTTTAAGATATTCTTATTTTCAACATTAGTTTTTATTTTATTTTAATTATTTTTTTATTCTTCATTGAATATTTATGATTCTAAAATATTTGAAATTTAATTTTTTTCTTTACAATTGAAATCATATTTATTTTCAGTATTTTATGTTGTTTTAAATATAATTTATTCATTTTCTTAAATATCTTACTTATTATAAATAGTCACTTATATATTTTTTTCTTTATTCTAATCGTTTTAAATAATATATTTATTATTTTCTTTATCATTTTTTTTATTATTCTCTTTATCATAATATTAATTACTTTTTTTATTATTTTCTTTACTGCTTTCTTATTTATTTTCATTATTATTTTCTTAATTATTTGATTATTTATTTTCTTAAATATTAATTTATTTATTTTCTTAAATACTATTGTACTTTATTTCCTAATTTTATTCTTAAAATTTTTCCTATATTTTTCCTTAAACGTTTTCTTTTAAACTATTTTCTTCTTAAAGTTTTTAATAATTTTCTTCTTCATTTTTTTAAATATTTAATTTTCCAATTTCTTATTAATTTTCGTCTTTTTTAACTTCAAAATTTGCCAATTAATTATCTTCAATGATATCCAGTATTTAATTTTGATTTTTTAAACTTATATCATCTTAAATAAAATATTAATTTTAATTATCTTAATTTTTTCCCTTTTATTCCGATTTATTATTTTCTAAAATAAAATTCTAAATACTTTCAAAGTCTATATTTTAAACTTTTGTTTATAATTTCTTTTCAAAGTAATATTATTAAAGTTATATCTATTTTTAAAAACTATTTCTTTATTTTATTTTATCTGCAATTTATAATCTCAAATATTCATTATAAAGAGCCATTTAGTCATCTTCTTTAGTTTTTCCTTCTATATTTTTTCCATCCAAAAAATCATTAAAATTTCCTAAATTTTAGCAAGAAATTTCTTTAAAAAAATCAATCTTTTCTTCATAAAATCTTTTCCATTTTTATTTATCAATATAAAATTTACAATATTCGAAATAAATATCAATTAAATCTGCTAAAACAATAACATATCCTAAAAATCCTTTAGAAGTTCTTTTTTTATCCTTTTTATTTTCTCCAAAATAAAAATAGCAATTTCCTAGATTTTCCATAATTAAATTCGCTAAACCTACTTCTTCCAATAAATATTAACTATAAACTCCTAAATTTTTATCTTTATAATTCTCCAGCATAAAAACAAGCATCCCTTAAACTATATTGTGCAAAATATTATTCCATTCAAATTTAAAAAACAGTTTAATTACGGTTTCAATAATACCACTTTTCATACAAACTTTTTAAACTATTGGAAACTGAATTCTAACAACAACATTTATTATTTCTACAATGAAAAGCCTACAAATTCCTAAATTTATATCTTCTTATTATAAAAATTCTTTTAAAGAATTCATATTTTCAATCAATTATTTCACAAAAGGCATATTTTCATATTATGAAAGCATTATTTGATAATAATCTTCTTCTTCACTATATCCTTTAACAAAGTTATTTGCGTTTTGCATATAATATAAGGAAATACTTTAAATAATTTTTAAACAGCCTTTTTGAGCTTCTTTGTTTTTGTCATTTTTAATTTATTTAAAGAAAATCTTTATTGAATTTTCGCAACAAATGCACTCCATCATTTCTTTTCCATCCAAAATACAGAAGTATTTTTAAATTACATTACATATTAAAATTGAAAAATTATAAACGTTTTCTCCAAAAGAGTTTTCTGAAAGTTTTTATATAAATTATTATATTTTCCTTGTTTTTATATCCGAATACTTTTGTATGTGTTCTTAATTGGATACAGTTAATCTATTGTACTCAAATTCAAATATTTAATATGTTATTTCAACTTTTTTTTTATATATATATATTTTTTTTTTTTAATTTTTTTTATTACAAATTGATTAATTATATATTTTATCTAATAACTTATCAAAAATTTCTTCATTAGTAAATAAAAATTCTAATAATTCTAAAGGCTTTGTTAATAATAAATTAGTTACAGGAATTTGCCAATAACCTGCTAAAATATCTATTGTTTCATTTTAAATAACAAAATCAAATAATTAATTTAAAAAGTTCTTATTTCCAACTAACAAATCAGTTATAAAATAAGGTTTTAATTCAAATATTTAAGCAGCTAATTAAGATAGTCTTAAACTTAAATCTTAATTGCTAATACATTTGCTCGGAAATGTTATTAATTTTATTAAATAAGGTATTACTATTGTGCTGTTTTATTAAAAAAAATATATTAATTAACTGTTTTAATTTCTTATATCTGCTAATAACAATTCTGGCTTTTACATTAACTTTTCTAATGTCTCTATTGGAATATCTTATGCACAATCCTCTAGTATGCTTTCGGTTTATCTTGATAAATAATGCATATATAAATATATATCTTTTAATATTTTTTTTTTTTTTTTTTTCAAATTCTTTTTTTAGATAATATATTAAATTTTTTTTACAATCAAAATATATAAGAAGTAGAAAATAATGTTTTATTTTAAAAAAAAAAAAAATTGTAAAAATAATAATTTTCTTTTTAATATTATATTTTTTTATTATTTTAATATTTTAAAATTTCAAAATTCTATAAAATTTTTGTATTTCAAATAAAAAATATAATTTTAATTTATAATATAAATAGAAATAATATTGCGTATCAAGATAGTAAATAAAATAAAAATTAAGAATATGAGAAAAAATAAACAAACTCAAACGAATGCTTAATATCTAAATTAAATATGTAATTTTCATTATTTAGATTATTTTTTTTAAAGAAAGCTGTCTAAATTTGATTAAGCTTAATTTCTATAATTATCTTTAGCATTTGGAGTTTATTATGTTGATTTTTATTCTTAATTTTAAATTTAAATATCATATATTTCATCATCATCTGAATCATCAAATTTATAATCTTAAAGTATTTTTTAGAATTAATTTTTTGTTAGGCTTTATTTTTCTTATTTTTTAACTTCAAATTAATCCATTTTGAATTATTTACTTTCTCCATCAATAATGCTTCCTACTATTTGAGTTTTTGATTCCAGTTATTTATACAAATGTTCATCCAAAGTTCCTTCTCCTAAAATATAGTGACATAAAACACTATTACTTTGTCCAATTCTATGAGCTCTATCTTCTGCTTATTATAATAAAGCAGGTGTCCAATGCATCTTATAATTTTTATTTTCAATATTTTTTTATTTTTTTATATTTTTACTTCTGCAAATACAACATTAGAAGAAGCAGTTAAAGTAAGTCCTGTAGAAGCAGCTGTAATAGATAAAATAGCAACTCTAGTGTCTTTATTTTATTAAAAAAGTGCAACCTTTTTATGTCTCTCTTCGTCTTGTACACTTCCATCAATTCGAATAGATTAGATTTCTAATTTTTTATTAACAAATTCTTCAATTGATAAAAGCACTTCTTTATGGTGAGCAAAGATAATTAATTTAATATCATTTTCTAATAAATCTTAAATATAATTTTTAAGTTCTTCTAATTTAGCCAGTCCAGATAATTTATAGCATAAATTAATAGCATTATTTTGAATAATCGAGGAGTTATTATCATTATTAGTTTCCTATTATTCAAATAATTATTTATAAATTTTCTAATCATTATCTTTGGTATTTCCTAAAATTTCCTAAATTTAAGCATGAATTTTCATATCTACATTAACCATAATTTTTTTCCTTCTTTTTTATGGTAATTAACTAAGAACTTCACTTTTTAACCTCCTAATCATTAAGTGTTTTTTCAAAATAAAATTTAATTCTTTATCATTTGAACATCCATCATAATCTAATCCTTGTGCATATTTAGAAGGTTTAGGGTCACAATATCTCAACCCGAAAAATTTAAAAGACCTAAACAAATCCGGCCTTAAAATCGACATTGGAATAAACAATTCTTTTGGCTTTGCAAACGCAGGAGTTCCACTTAGCAATATAATGTGCTTTTTTTGTTACATAAAAGGATGTAAACTTTGAGTTCTTTTTGCTTGAGGATTCTTCAAATAATGGACTTCATCTGCTATTATTATTTGTACTTTTGGACTCATGCCTTGAATTATTTTTGGGGCTAAATCATATGAGGTGATAAATACTTTAGTTGTTAAATAGAATTTAAAAGGCTTCTTTTTAAAAATCTATATATCATTAATTTATAAATCTTAACTCCATTTCAATAACTCATCTCTCCAATTATATTTCAATGAAGACGGACATAAAATTAATAAAGGCCAACTTTCTTTATAGCAATTTGCTAAACAAATGGCTTAAATTGTTTTTCCTACCCCCATTTCATCTCCTATTAAAATTCTACAGTTATTTTATAAACCAAATTCTATTCCTTATTTTTAAAAATCGTATAAATTTTGTATTGTTTCGGGTGGTAAAATATCCTCTAATTTTTTTTTTTGGATTGATGGAGGATATCTTATTAATACTTCTTAAGAGTTTTGATGTTTGTTTTATGCTGAAGATTAAAACCTTAAATATTCACCTATTGGTTGGATACATTTATATACAAATTATGGTATTTATTAAATGTCTAGTGATGTTTTCTAAAGCTTTTTTTTATTAAGTTTATTTAGTTTAGTTTAGTTTTTTTTTTTATTACTTATTATAATACTAAATCATATTTTCTAGTACATAAAATCCAAGCTTTTTATGTATAATCAAAATATCCTCCTTAGTTCTATTTTTTTAAAAATATATTAAACTTTTATTTTTGTTAATTTTTTTAACTTTTATTATTTATTTTCGTTCTTCTGTAAATATATTAAATTATCCCTTTATAATTATTTAATCATTTGATATTAATTGAATTGAAACACTGTTTTATTACATTTTTTTTAATTTAAAGCGCTTATTTTTTTTAAATAAATTAATATATCGATTTTTTTTTTATAATATATAGTATTAATTTTATTATTTGCTATATAAAAAAAATATTTTTATATTATTCTAAATATATTATTTTATCATTCTATTAAATTTTAAAAATTCAATTTTTTAATTTACTTTAAAAAAATAATGAATTTATTATGAAAATAAAAAATGAATTTATTAAATAATAGTAATATTTAATTTTCTTTATTAAAATTAAATAAGATATCAAAACTACTGAAACAATATCTAGCTTATTCATAACATATATATAATTATTTATATTTAAATTATTTAATTATCAAAATGTAAATTTAAAAATACTAATTAAAACGTACTGAAAATGATTTTAAAATAAATATAATAATATATAAGATTAATATATTACAAAATATTTTAATTAATAAAAATAATAATATTAATTTGAAAAATAAAAAATAAATTATAAATCAAAATACGTATATTATAAATAAAGTATTATTTTCTAAAATATACATCATTCTTTATATTACAATTAATTTAAAGGCCAATCTTCATATTATTTATTAGGTAAATATCTTCTAATTATAAATGGAATTTTTTTAAAGCAAATTCTTTTTCTGCAATAACAATTGGATCATATTCTTCTATGTATAAAAATCAATATTTAAAAATATAAAAAAATTACTATCCTCAGTATCGACATAAATGGGTGAACTTTAAGCTATTTGTAAAGCTCTTGTGCCTATAACTCTTGCTTTTTCATATTTTGTTAAAAATGGTGGCGTTATTTTTTCTTTGTTTTCTAATTTTTTATCATATTATTCTAATATTACACAATTATCAATATATTCTGAGCATGTTTCTGATTATTATTCTTCATTTTAATGCTTTTAATCTTTTTTTACACTATTTTATTGCTCATCATCATTTAAGTTATGCTTTTATGAGGATTAATTGTTAGGTGTGCTTGATGATTATATTAAATCAGGAGAAGGAGGATAATTTTCAGAGTCTTACTCTTCATCCTCTTCTTCTTCTTCTTCATCCTCCTCTTCCTCTTCTTCTTCTTCTTCTTCTTCCTAATCATTTGATTAATCAATATCAAGATTTTATTCATAATATTCTATTTAATCTGAAAAAAATTTTATATCTTCTTCACTCATTTTTTTATGCTTTTTATTTTTGTTTCTTTTTTTATTTTATATATATATATTTTATTAATATTTTTTGTTATTATATTTTATACATTAAAGCATCTTATATTATATACCATAATTTCTCATTAATTTTAATACTTTTTTAAAAAATAGCTTTATAAGTTTCATCTAGAAAAAGTTTTGAGAAAAATTTCAATAAGTATTAAAATACATATTAAATTTATAGTGTTAGCTTTTGAAAAAATAAAAAACAATTGACCTAAAAATTGTTTTTTATACTTAAATTCCCTAAGTAATATTGATATACTTGTAATAGATTAATAGGGCTACTTATTGATAATAATAGTTTAAAGATATATTATTCGAATAATAATAAATAATTTATTTTTTAGCATTAGTATTCATAACAAAATATATATAAATAATATAAATTGTATATATAAAAAATATATAAAACTTCAAGTATTAATAATAATAGTCTTTAAAATAAAATAATATTAATTCTTAAATAAAAAAACGATATTATTATTTTTAAATTTTATATTAAATAATAAATATTTAAAGATATATTGCTATAAGGCGCATATATATAAAAATAAAATAAAAATTAATAAAATTTTTTTTATTGTTTTAAAAGAAAGCTTGAATGATCAATTAATATTACTAAAAAATATTTTGAACCTGTTACAAGTATAGGCTGAACAAAATAAATCAAAAAGTGTTGAAATACAAAGAGATTAATATTAATATGGACTTATAGTAACCCAAACCTAATATTAATTTAATTGTTTTGGTTATTTTATTCATTTTTAATTTAAAAAAATTATATTTTTAAAAAAAAATTATAAAAAATTTAAAATAATAAATACGTTAAAATTTGTTATTTTTTATAAATCTATATAAAAAGTAAAATAAAAATAAAAGCGAAAGAGAAAATAAAAATTTTGGTATTAAATAAAATTTTATTAAATTTTTGTTATTAGAAAATATATTTTTTTATATATATTTAGTTTAAAACTTTAATGAGTAAGTAGATATAAAAATTGTTATTATTATAGTTTATAAAAAAATATTATAAATAGTTTTTATTTTTATAAATTAGTATGAGCGAGAATAAAAATAGATAATAAATCATCAAAAATAAGATGTTTATTTAATTAAAATTTAATATAAATAAATATTTTTTAATAATAATTTATAAATAGAAAATTTTATAATTAACACTAATGTAAAAATATATTTCTATATTATTAAATTAATTCATAATTTTAATAATAACAAATGAATTATCTTTTAATATTTAAAAAAATTATTCATCGTTCATATTTTTTTTTTTTGTAATTTATTTTAAAATTCAATCAAAAAAAATGGCAATAATCTATTTTTATTTGTTTTTTGTATTGATTTATTGTAAATATAGTAAAAATATGAAAAAAGTAAAAATGACGTAAAAAAAATATAAGAACCAAAATAAAGACTTCAAAATTAATAACTATAATAATAAGCAATATTCTATTACTAATAAATTAAAAAAAATAAAGATCGATGATTAAATGAAAAAATGATAAATATAAAAACTTTTAGAAACAATATATTTAGAAAATAGTTTATATAAATAAAAAAAAATATATATTTTATTTATTAAAATAGAATAATTATAAATTATAATACGTATAAGATAATAAATCTTTTTTTCATTTTATTTAATAAATTAAAATAAAATGATTTTAAAATTAATATAATAAATTAATCATTTATGTATAACTAGGAAAGTATTAAATAATAAATTCTCAGGAAAAAAGGATGATTTTTCTCCTGAAACTCGATAAAAACAAATGGAAGAAATATTAAAATAATATAATAATAAAGATTTTTAAAGAACAACATTAGATAAATAAAAATTAAAAGAAAAATTACAGAATAGAGAAACCAAATTGCCAATTAAAAATTTTAAAATTCAAAAGCAAGACGATTTTTACAATCCTAAAATAAATGTAAATCCTACAAAAGATGTATTTAATTTTTATGAAGATTCATTAAAAAAAAAGATCAGTAATAGATTATTTTATAAAAAAATATTTTCAAATATATAAATATAATTATAAAAAGTATAAATTAAGTTTTTGGACTTGGAAATGGATATTTTTCTGTGAATAATGTTTGGTATCCTGGAAGCTTATTAATATTCCCTAATTAAGTATTTTTATGGGATGTATAAACAGCTGCAGATATAAAGGCTCATACTTTAGATTTTATTGAATTTGTAAAACCAAGACCAGGTAAATATAAACTTTTGTTTAAGTATTTATAAATATAATATAAAAATATTTATAAAAAATTCAAAATAAATGTAAGAAAGATAAAAATAAAATGTTATGTTATATATATATTGATTGAATATTTAATTGAAAGAAAAAAAAATTAATATATATATATATAAACATATATATATTAATATAAATATAAATTTTTATATATATATTTTTTTGATTAATTCATTTTATATATTATTTAAATTTGTTTTTATATAATTTTTAATTTTTTTATTTTTTTTAAAAATTATATTTATTTAGATTATATAATTATTGGAACTGGCAAAGAAAAGTTCTTTTTAGAAGAAAGTATTTATGATAGATTTGCTAAATAAAATATTAGAGTTGATGTACTTCCGACTGTAAATTAAATTTTTAAATTTTATTTTTTAATATATTTTTTTATAGTTTTGAAGCATGTTCTACTTTTAATGTTTTGTGCAGAAGATTAGTTAAATATTTGTACTTTTTTAATTCCTGCTAATTTATGATTTTTTTTTTATTATACATATAAAAACAATTGTAAGATTAAAATTAAAATATTTAAGTTTAATTATATATTTATAATTTTGAACAATTTTTTATATTTTATATTGTTTAATTTCCTTTAAATTTTTTTTTAGAAAAATTTAAAAAGTTAGATTATCCTTTTTATATATAATATAAATTTTAATAATATAAAATAAATATTTATATTCTTAAAATTTTTAATGTAGAATGATAATTATTTTTTAGAAAATACTGTTTTATAGAAAATTTTATTTCTATAAATTATATATATCTATTATTTTAAACTATTTTATTTAAAATATATATATTTTTATATAATTTGACTCATATATTTTACTTTTATTTTAAATATAAAATAAATTATGTATATAAAAAGAATTAATTTTTTATTATATTCTTATATAAATATTTAATAAATTAATAAAAATAATTTTTTATTAATATTTAATATTAATTTTTTATTAATCTTTAATAATAATTTTTTATTAATCTTTAATAATAATTTTTTATTTAAAAAAATAATAAAAAAAAACATTAATGCAGATTATTCAAATATTATAATATAAATAATTAGATACATAAGAAAAAAATAAATATTTTTTATTTTTATGAGTAAAAAAATTTTAAAATTTATATTAAATTTAAATATTAGAAATTTAATAATAAAATATTAAAAAATAAATATTTAATAATATTTATGTATAAAATAAAATTATTATGAATAATTTATCTAAATCAAAAAATATATATTTATTAATTATTTAAATTTATTATTTATTTATTTATTTTTAATTATTATAACATATATTATATAATTATTATTTTATATAATAAAAATTAAATATAAAAAATTAAAAATTAAAAATGACATAAATGTTAATTGTATTTTTACTAATAACTGCATCTTTTGCTTATAACCTTCGAAGCCTAATTGTAAATGATTTAAATCAAGATATTCTTTAATAATTATTGAACGGATTATATGAAGAAAATTAATTAACAGATCCTTAAACAATTATCTCATGTATAGATGCAGAAACAGCTGCAAAAATAACAGCTTTTATTCCTGGTTTTTTGCAAAACGCATCTAGTGCTCTTCATTTAAATGCTGCATTTACCAGTTTAGAAAGTTTTGCGAAAACTCTTCCTTAAAGTGTAAGTGATTGTTTAAAAGGAAACTAAGAATTAAATAAAATAAAAATTGCTTATAATCTTGTAGGCGCTGATCCAAACGCTCTCAAATAGAAAGTTACATTTTATGTATTATCACATATAAATCATGTAACTTAAACATTTGGTTAAGATTTAAAGTAGTGGAATATATAATAATATAATTAAGCAGGATAAACAATAGCTGACTTAGGACATGATGCTTTAAAATTAATTGCCTATTTACTTGGTTAATATTCATAATGATTATTTATTTATTTTTATATATAAATATAATTATTTTTATTTATTACTATTTTAGATTTATTAATTTAATTATTGATTTTTATATTTTTTATATTTAATACAAATTATATTATATTGAAAATAATAAAAAAAATTTCTTAAATTCAAAAAAATAATTTATATTTTATTTAGTTTTTTAAATAAATAATTTTGACTATTTGATATATAAATTTAAAATCATATATCATATAAATATGTTTATATAAAAAGAAATGTTTAAATATATAATATATAAAAAGTATAAAAAAAATATATTATTTATAATTCAAATATATAAAAAAATAAAACTATTAATATTAATTATTATATGTAAATTATTATTTGTATAAATAAGTATATATATGTTTTGAAATATTAATTTTAAATATTTATTAATTTAAATAAAATTATTAAAAAGAAAAAAAAAAAAAATATTAAAAAAAAATTATATATATAAAAAAAAATTAGTTATTATAAATATATAAAAAAAAATATATTTTAAAATCAAATAAAAAGAAATAAAATATAAATAATAATAAATATATTTTTAAATTTTAATGTTATTTTTTTTTTTTTTAAAATAAATAATTTAATAAAAAATAAAAATAAATTTTTATAAAAAAAAAAAAGATAAAAGATTAAATAAATAAATAAATAAATAAATAAATAAATAAATAAATAAATAAATAAATAAATAAATAAATAAATAAATATTTTTTTATTTTTATTAATAATTAATTTTAATATTTATTTATTATTAAATATATTAATTTATTAGTATATTATTTACTTATTTATTAAAGTAATAAAGTAATTATTAATTAATATTTATTTTTAAATTAATAAATTATAAGTTCTTAGATTTTTAAAAATTTTAATATATAAATTATTAAATTAATAAAATTATAAATTAATATAATTATTTAATATCTAATTAAAATATTTATATAAATATTTAAATAAATATATTAATAATTTAAACTTAAAATTTATTTTTTATTTTTATATAATCAAATATAATTTTTATTATATTAATATTTAATTTTTATTATTTCTTTTTTTTATTATTTGTTATTATTATATATTTTTACTATTTTTTTTTTGCCATATAATATTTAAGTTATATCTTATATCATTTTTTATATAGAAGAAATTTAATCATCATTAAATTAAATTAAATTTATATAATTGTAAATATTTTTTTTTTTTATTAATTAAATAATTTATTTATGAATAGAACTTTTTTTCATATATATATATTGTTTATTTATTTTTTTATTAATAAATTAAATATTAGATTATGTTGTATTTTTTTTTGCTTTTTATTATTTATTTAATTCAATTTTAAATATTCATAGATTTTTATAATTCTTTATTTTTATTGTATTAAAATTATTTAATAAAAAATTTAAAGTTTACTAATATTTAATTATAAAGAACAAAAATTATAATTTTTTACTTTTACATTAAAAAATTTAATTATTAATTTTTTTTTTTTATTATATTATTTAAACTACAGCATTATTTTAAGAATTGATTTTTTTTTTCTAATTAGCAACTATTTTATAAATATTAAAAATCAAAATAATTTATTTAAAAAAATATTTCAAATTTATTATAATATAATATTTATTATATTAGTATATTTTTTTAGATATAATTAATATTCATAACTAAAATATATTTTAATTACTTTTTTATATTTAATTATTTTAAATTAATTAAATAAAACAACTAAAAACTTTTTATTAAAATATTCTTAAAAAAAAAGCTATGATTTAATATAATACAAAATATCTTATTATTTAGAATAGAAAATATTTTATTTTAATTTTAATTATAAATAAATACTTATTAAAAAAATTGAATAATAACTTTACATAAAAAAATAAATGATACGAAAATTTATATCTTGTTCTCCTTTAACTAACGAAATTATTAAAGAATTCGATTTTATTACTGATTCATAACTCCAAAATCATATCGAACTTTCTTTAAAAGGCTATTCAATTTAAAAAAATTTATCATTTTAACAAAAATATGATCGTCTTCACTCTCTAACTTCCCTAATTGACTAAAACTTTGAAAATTATGCAAAAATTATTACAACAGAAACTGGAAAGCCAATTACCTAATCTATAGCCGAAGTATAAAAATCGTCTGCCCATTGCAAATACATAATCGAAAATCTTGATAAGTTATATAAATCAGAGCGAATAAAAACAGAAGCTAAAAAATCTATGATTTTATATTAACCATTAGGCATAATACATTATATACTCCCATTTAATTTCCCTTTCTGGTTTATTTTCAAAGGTATGATTTCTGCTCTATCAGCTGGCAATTCAGCACTTGTCCGTGTTTCAGATTCCACACCTTTAGTAGGCTTAGCTGTATAAGAATTGTTCCAAAAAGCAGGTTTCGATCATTTTGAATATTAAAACGTATTCACATCACCTTCTTAATTAGAATTAATTTGCAAAAACAGGCATATAAAAGGTATTGCGTTTACCGGAAGTACGAAAACAGGCTCTTAAATAGCCTAAATGGCCGGAAAATACATTAAAAAATCAACCCTTGAACTCGGAGGGAATGATCCTTTTATAGTTTGCGAAGATGCAGATATAGATCTAGCTGTTAATTTAGCTATTAAAAGCAGATTAGCAAATGCTGGGTAAGTATGTATTAGTTCAAAGAGATTTTTAGTTATTAAAAGTATATATGATTCGTTTATAGAAAAGTTAATAAAAAGACTATAGAAGGTTAAAATAGGAAATCCTTTTTTAGCAGAAACTGAATTAGGACCTCTTGCTAGAATTGATTTATTATAAAACTTGGAAGCTTAAATTGAAAAAAGTGTGCAATAAGGGGCAAAAATCGCTTTTGGAGGAAATAGGTGTCTCTAAGATGTTTTTCCTAAAGGAAACTTTTTTTAACCTACTGTACTTGAAAATATTAATAGTAATAATATTGCAAATTAAGAAGAAATATTTGGACCGGTTTTCTCTGTTTTTAAAGTCAAAAATATTGAAGAAGCTATTTAGATTGCTAATGATAGTCGATATGGGTTAGGGGCTTGTATTGTGAGTAAAGATTTATAAAAAGCAGAAGAAATTGCAAAATAAATAGAAACAGGTACTGTTTATGTTAATGATTTTGTCAGAAGTGACTCTAGATTGCCTATTGGAGGAATAAAAGATAGTGGATACGGGAGAGAATGTGGATATCATGGAGCTCTTGAATTTACTAATATTAAAAGTATGTGGATTAAATGAAAATTAGGTTTTTATGTAATTTTATATTTTTATTATGTAGTTTTTATAAATATAAAATATATATTTAATTATTTTTGTATTTTCATGATAAATTATTATTATTTTATTCTTTATTATTGCTATTGTTTTTAGAATTATTTAAGCAAAACTATGTGAGTTTATCAATAAATAATTATTATTTCTATGAATTCTCAAAAAAGGGTATTGTAATATTTTATCTTTTAATATTTCTTTCTAAAATTTAAACTCTTTATTCTATAGAAAATGCCTCCAAGAAATCTTATTAATTTTAATTATTGTTAATTTCATCAAAATCAATATTAAAGTTAAGATAAATATTATTTTCATTTTAAAGATCTTTAATATTCTTAATAGATTAGATTTATTAAATAAAATTTTCTTATTTATTTTAATCAATCAAAACAGTATCAAATAATTCAGGTAAACTAGCCATCACAAAAGAGCAAGGATGTAAAAAAAGTTAACAAATAGTATTACAACCTTATTTTATTTTTTATAATTTCTTATTTTAATCAAAGAAAATTATCCATCCTAAACCCCATCCTTCTACTTAAAATAATTTTTCAATACCTGAAATTATAATTATAGGAATTTCAGTGTTATTCTCAATTAAAGGAGAAACCCTTTAAGGAAAAAGTTCCAAAGAAATTATAAAAAGCTTATTTTTTTTGCTAAATTCTAGCAATTTCTCTATTGTTTTTCTTCTATATATTTATGGACATATTTCGCTATTTATATATATAAAGCGAGTTTTTTCATCTACCAAACTTTACATTTTTTCAAAATTTAAAAATTCTTAATCATTTTCTATTTATTATTTTAAATATATTCTTGATTCTATTTTCAATTCTTTAAAATAAAAAGGTTCGCAACTTAATATGTTGTCTCCAGGATTTGTTATTGATAAAAACAAGTTCAATATTCCAATTTTATATCCGTGAGTTAATATTATGTCTTATGTTGTTGCACGATCGAATCCAAAGTATTTTCTTACTGCCTCTTTTGCAGGCTCAGTCCCATTTGATGATGTATAGGAATGTGATTTTCTGTTCATTATTTATTTTTTTAGTATATCATAGCCAATTAATGGAATTTCAGACGATGTATACGTGTTAAATTAAATAAGTTCAGATTAATAAGGATTCTATATGCGTTTTATAGAGCTGATATTAAGTGAAAATTAAGATGTTTTTATCATTTTTTCTATTTTTTGTTTTTTTTGTTTTTTTGTTTTTTCTATTTCTTAATTTATATTATTAAAAAAAACCTATTATTATAGGCAATATTTCGTATTAAATAAATTATATTATTATTAAATAAGTAATAATGACGCTATATTTTTTTATTGATACTTATATCATAAAATAATTTTAATTAAGTTTTTATTATTTAAATAATATGATTTTAATAATAAATACAATTTTAAGCATAAAAGTATAAAATAATATTATTTTTTTGCTATCTAATTATGGTTATTTTAATAATAATAATTATTTTTATAAAAATTTAATTATAAAATGAATTAATTTAATGTGTATTAAATTATTTAATTTTTATGTTTTTTTAACAAATGAATATAATAACAAAAATTTGATTTGCAAAATCATGATGCAATATTATTCATTAAGTAAAATTTATAAAGTTAATAATTAATTTGCTTTAATATGTATTTTGTTATTTTAGATATTTAAAATATAGTTAAACTTTTCTAAAAATCTATAAATTAATCCAAAAAAAATGCAAAGAAAAATCGAAAATTTCTTAATTAGAAATATTATATATCAAACAATTCAAGCGTTTTTAACATTAATATATTTTAATAGCCTTTTAAATAACACAATATGAAAAAAATAAAAATATTTTATTTGTTTCTAAAAACAATCAAAATAAAAAATAATCAAATTTTAATCCAAACATAAAATTATTTTTCACTTTTTAAATCTTCAAACTTTTAACCAATCATACCCATCTTAATCATAATCTAATTTCTACTATTTTTTTTTTATTTATAAATTCGAAATTATTATATTTTTTTTTTTTTTTTGATAATTCTGCTATTATTTATACTACCATTCCTGCAATAATTAATTTTCTCTTCATTATTGGATAAATTTCTATTTCTAGCTATTTTCCTATTATTTACTATTATTTTCCTTTATTAAATTGAAAAATAATATAGCTCTTTTATAAAAGAATAATACTTAATATTATATTCTTTTTAATTGTATAATTCTAATATCTGTTTTCTTTAGATAAGGATCATAAAAGCATAAATTATTTGGACATATACTTTAACATAAATTTTAATTTGTTATATTCTACTGAAGCATTTAATGTTGATTAATAATGTATTATATAATACAATTAATTATATTATATCTTTTAAGTATAAATACTTTCGAATTCATTTAAAGATTAAGTTTTTTTTATTGTGTTTTAAATTGATATATAGTATAGTATTTTTATAAATCTATAGAGTTGTTTTCATATTTTAATATTTCTTTTCTTATATTTAAAATATCCATTAAAAATTAAATATATTTTACTAATGTTTTTTTATTTAATTTGTTTTTTTAGTCATTTAATTTTTATTTTTACTAAACTATAAATAAAATTATATTTTACGGATAATATTTGCATTTAGCTTAATAATTTTGAAAATTCTTATGAAATTTTTATAAATGAAGATTATATGCTAAATAATAATTTTTTACAAAAAAATAAATGTTTTATATTATTCTATGAAAAACAATATAAAAATATTTATGTCTATTTTATATTAATTTTATTACAAGATTTTTTTAAAATAATTATAATTACATTTAACATAATTAAAAATAACTTATATGTATATAATAAATTTATATTTTTTTAAAAAATTATTTTGAAATTTTATTTAATTATTACAATCCATATTTTTGCATTTTTTCTTTTTATAAATAGAATATCCTTTTTTTATAAAATATTAAAAATTATTTTGTTTGCTTTAAAATATGTTTTTTCATTCACAATCTTATTCCTAACTATAATAAGAAATAGAATTTACAATAATATCAAATTAAGAAACCGATTCATTAATTGTATTTATATAAATATTGAAGTTTTTAGTATTTTTTTTAAAAAAAATTTAGAAGTTTTCATACTCTTATTTATCTTAGAATAAATCTTTAATAAAGTTGCATATTAAATAAGGTTAAATTATTTAAAAATTAATTAAATTATCAATATAAACAGTATACTTTTTAAACAATTGAGATTTGTTATTTTCATTTGTAAACTATAAATTAGTTTATTGCATAAAATTGACAACATTATATAAAAAACTTTAATTAATCTAATAAAAATATTTTTAATATTTATTTTAATAAATTTTCTTTGAAATAATTAAATTTAAGTTTTTACATTTTGAATTAAAAAAAGTCATAATGATTTATTATATTTATTAATTTTCATCAATTATATTTTAAAAATAAAATTATGTGTTAATATTTTATATATTCTCTTTATTTTCTATATTCATATTATAATAAATATCAATAATTTCTTGTATCTTAACGAATTTAGGCAAAACAAAAACACATTTTTTCAAATAAGTTTAAAATTATTTAAATGACTCTTATAAGCTTTCTTTAAATTCTTATTTCGTATTTTATTCAATATCAAAATAATTATTTTCGTATTATTCATCATAAGTTTAAATTAAAATTAAATCAATATTTTTTAGTTAAAAACTTTATATTTCGTTTGAAATTATAAACTCCATATTTAACTATATTTGCTATTTCTGTAAAGTTTTTATTAGACAATTTTCAATGTAATTTTCGTTTAAACAACAATAAATATAATCTAACTCAAAAGCATTTTTTATTTTGTTTATGAAATCTAAATTAAAAAAATTCATGTAATAAAACATTTAACTCTAATTTTTATACTAATCATTTATATAAGCTTAAGCATTATTACTTTATATACTATCCATATATACTTCGATTTCAAATATTCCAAACTGTATTTTGCTTATCTCATTTTATTTATATTTTTATATATCATATTATTATTTACAATCTATAGATTATACTATTTATGTTTATATTTGCGATATTTATTATTATTGTTCTTCATTTTGTTAAAAACATAAATATTTATATATATTTTTAAAGAATTCATAAAACTGATTTTTTTTCTATTATTTTGATTTATTACTTTTTTAAAAAAACTAAACAGTATTCATTTTATTTTATTAATTTTTAAAAATATATTAATATTTTTTTAGAAATTAATTATATGAAAATAAATAATTTTATATTACATAAATAAATATTAGATTAATGATATAAGAATTATTATAGATATTAAAGTAATTTATTATAATAATTATAGTCAAATAAAAGTTTTTATTATGTTTATTTATATTTATCAATATTATTTTTATATAAGATTAGAAAATTAATTTTATTATTATATATAAATAATAAAGATGTTTATTTAAATATATTATATATTGCAAACAATAAATCTTTTAATATTTATTTATATACAAAAATTATTTGTTTAAATTTTTTAAATATTAATCGAAAATACTTTTTTTACTTATCAAATTTTAAAAAACTAAAAAAAATATATATAAAAGTTTAAAATTTTAATATAAATATTATTTTTTTTATAAGTTTTAAATATTTTATCTATAGATATTTTGAAGTTAAATTTACCGAAGTTTATTTTATCTTCTTCTATATTTTTTTCTATTATAATTTAAGTTACTATATTTTTTAAGTTAAATGTTTTAACTTAATAAAACACTAAAATAATTATTCTTATGATAATAAAATGATTCATTTTACTATAGTCAAAATACTTCGATAAGTTTGTATCTTATCTAAAAATATATTTTTTAATTATTAAATTGAAAATTATTTTTTTAAATTAATTCAAACGCTTGTTAGTTATAAATGTTAAACATTGATTCCGAAATTATTTTCTTTGATTATTTTACTTAAAAATAATTTTTATAGTGTTTTATTATTTGTAAAATTTGCTTATTAAATTTATTTTTAATCTTAACAATACAATTTTTTTATTATTATTGAAAATAAATTTGAAGCAATCTTGATTTTTAGTTTTAAAAAGACTATATTATTTTCTTTTATTTTTAACTTATTTATATATGTGTATTTATTTATTTTTTGAATAATTATATTTTTTTAAAAAAAATGTATAAATATAAAATATAAATTTATAACAAAAGGCTTTTCTAAATATCAAAATTCATTAAGTAATTATTAGTTATTAAAGTATATTTCTGACATTTTTTATGTAAATAACCATTATAATTATAATTCATCACCAATCGTTAATTATTCTGCTTCTACTTATTTTTGAAGAATTTTTTATATAAATATAAATTAAAATTTATAAATAAAATACAATTACTATCCTATTAATTTGATTTTCTAGAATTTTATGAAGAAAATTTAATTACTTTTTAGAAGTTTTAGATTTTTTTAAAATAAAAAATCAATTTTTCTTCTAATTTTTTTAAAAATCAATCGCCTAAAAAATCCATTACCCGTTTTTTCACTATTGCCTTTTTTTTTTAGTTTAATTCAGTTTTTAAAATAAAATTAAAAAAAATATACTTTTAAAAAAATCATATATGAATTTTTGGCTTTTAATCCTATCTTTTTATTGTTTTTATTTTAAAGGATATCTTTATGCTGGTTTCTATTAGTTATATTTTAAAATTATTAATAATTTGTTTAGTCCTATATGCAATTTTATGTATCCATGTGAAAAATTATTTCTTT